ATAAATGATTTGTGTTTTTTGGCGTCACTTTTGCTTTGATGATTTGTTGAGCTGATCGATAATTTTCGTGTTCAACGTATTTTGATGTCACGAGGGAAGAGTTTGTATATAAATGAAAGTCTTTGTCAGGATTTATCGTTCCCATGGCTAATGTTTCCAACAATGGGGTAATTTAGGGGGTCATTTATTATTTTTAGGGTCACCATTAGCTTATCGGTTTTTATATAGCTGGATTTTCTCCTCAAAATAATGCTACGGACGAGTACGGTATTTGAGGAATGTTGATAAGTATTCAGAGAGATATTTTCAAAGGTTTTAGCTAAAATATTTGGAACATGCACACCCGCGCACGCAAACACACATACGCGCACAGATACACACGAGCACGCACGCACACACACACACACACACACACACACACACACACACACACACACACACACACACACACACACACACACACACACACACACACACACACACAGTTGAGATTTCAATTTCAGTTGAGAGGCGGGACCAAAGGGCCAGAGTTAAACCCCCGCAATCACAAATAGGTGAGTACACACACGTTAAGTTAAAAAAAATGATCGTTAATTGATGACAGTTGAGAAGCGAGCGAAAGAGCAGAGCTCAACCTCCGCAAGCACAACTAGGTGAATACAGCTGAGTACATACACACATACACACACACACACACACACACACACACACACACACACACACACACACACACACAAATACACACACATACACACACACACACACACACACACACACACACACACACACACACACACACACACACACACACACACACACACACACACACACACACACATTGGCACCTTCCCCCCCACCCCCACACACACACACTTTTCGCTAACACTTTGAATTTATTCACTCTTTACCTGTAATGTTTCTCCAAAAGCTTGGATTTTTTCCTCCATTCAAAGCATTAGCAGCGTTGGGATTTATGCCAACATTAGAAACACTAACGAAATAATGTATAAAACTGAAGAAGCACGAACGATACGGAATGGAACGAGCGAAACCCAATGGGAGATTTTGATAAATAGAGAGATATGATGGGATAAGTGTCGTGTTTCAGCTAACATGGTGTGAGATTTCAAGCTGTTTAGAAATCTGAAACTCGTGAACAATTAAATCGTCTTTTTTTTATCTGACATTTTTAAAGTCTCCATATCTGTGTGGGACATATAGTTTGTGTAGATCTTAAGTGTGTTTGTGTGGACCTTCAGTGTGTTTGTGTGGACCTTCAGTGTGTTTGTGTGGACCTTCAGTGTGTTTGTGTAGATCTTAAGTGTGTTTGTGTGGACCGTCAGTGTGTTTGTGTGGACCTTCAGTGTGTTTGTGTGGAGGTTCACGTTTGTCTGTGGATCTCTGTGTGTATCTGTGCTGATGTCTCCCTACATATATGTGTTTAACTGTTTTCCAGTATTTTAACACGTCTTAGGTCTATTAGATTTATAATAGCCGTGATATAGACATAAATGAAACAGCAACTGCAATTAGTATTGTTTGAAACAATTAATCTGATTTAACCATTAAAGACATCCCTTTAAATAAAAGATCAGGACAGTTTTGTTGCTAGAATTCCTCATCAAACAGTCAACTGTCTGCTCACGACATGAGAATTCAATGTAAATACATTGCCCTAGACGCTCACTTCAGAGTTAATTATTTTCGAGAGTGGGAAAAGTTTTTACACAGAAGGAGTTGGTGTCTGCATATTCAAATGAATGTTTATACACATTTTCATTATTTTTATTATTTAGTTAATTATTTTCGAAACTTGAAAAAGTTTTTACACAGAAGGAGTTGGTGTCTGCATATTCAAATGAATGTTTATACACATTTACTCCTCTGATATTTCCTTCGGTTCATTTATGATGAATTGCAAACTATTTATCACGTGTCTAGTTAATTTTGGTATATACCTTATTTCTGAGTAAATATTCGTGGCATTTGACATTTTATTCCTTAATGCTCTCTTATATAAATTATATAAATACTGACAACGTTGATATATTGCTAACGCTGGTAACCCTGTTTGCTGGGTAGAATATATTGGTGCATTCTAATTGTCCATTAGTCCAATGAAATCCTTTAAGCACACACTCACACACACACACACACACACACACACACACACACACACACACACACACACACACACACACACACACACACACACACACAAGGGAGTGGAATTGAGGAAACGGGCAGAGAATAATCATAGGGGCTTGAATTCGCTTCATGGCTGAAGCAGAAGCAAATGGGCAGAATTTCATTCACCTGATGCCTCTATTTACCTAGCAGTAAATAGATACCTGGGATTTAGATACCCTGTTACTGGCTGCATCCAGTGGATATGTGTGTGTGTGTGTGTGTGTGTGTGTGTGTGTGTGTGTGTGTGTGTGTGTGTGTGTGTGTGTGTGTGTGTGTGTTAGAGAGAAATATGTACTAGATATTAAAGATGTATATAAGTCAGAAGTCAGTACATTAGACAACCAACAATTATAAGGAAGAAAGAAAGACATCTAAGAGTTAACGACTTGATCCTACAGCCCCCCCCAAAAAAAAAACAAAAAACACAAAACAAACAGTAAACACACACAAATACACCAACAAAAAATGAAGGTGTAAACACACTGCGCCGTAAGGTGCTGGGTACACCCAAACAGCACACAGCACAAAACATAACATACACACTAAAACACACGAGAAGCCAGTTCCTGGAAACTGAGCAGTAAACCGCACCGCAGTCAAATAAAACAGACTCAAAACCTATAGAGACAGGAGGTAAACCAACCAAAAAAAACACTATAATGAAACTTTATTCGGGTCCGTGGTAAAGCAGGAACAGTCTAACTGGCAGGAAACGTAAACTTACTAGCAATAGAGCCGGAGAAAAGCACTGGTCTCTACTCTAGCAATGGTTATCACAGGAGGAAGAGGCGAAGAAAGAAAGAGAAATGAAAGGAAGAGAGAGAATAAGAAGGTAAGAACCCGCACTGAGAGGAGACGGCCAAAGGAACTAGCTAGTTTAGCTAAGTGAACGGCGAATTGGGGATGAAGGAACGACCAAGTGGTTCTGAATTAACGAGAGTGCAACTGAGGAAATGGCTGAGGAAACTGAGCTCAGCGAACGATGGACTGAGGCTGAGGGAAGCAGAGGATGACACTGTGAGCGGATTAAAGATGGAGAGACTAGGGAGTGCTTAAAGACCGTATTGATCAGATTAATATCATTGGCTGTGTAGCAAAGAGAAGGATGAGAAGGAGGTCACATGGCAGAGGAGAAAGGAACAATCAGGTGAAAGCACCCAATCATTACGACTATCTAGCCCTTGAAAAGGGCCAGGATAGGGATTTGGAATAGGACGCAGGGAGGGGGAAAGAGTTGCAAAGAAAAATTGAAAGAGAGAGAGAGAGAGTGAGGAGAGAGTAGAGAGAGGAAAATGAAGAGAAGTAGGTACATGCAGTACACAAACAGTGTACACACACACACACACACGTTGTACATGCACTGTACAACCCATGTACATGCACCTCTCTCCAACTGGTTTCAGAGATAGTTAGGAAGAGGAGTGTGACGCTATTTGTCTCCCTGATTGGTGACCAGAGAGGTGGTAGAGGGTTGGGGGTTAGGAGGTGGGGTGGGGGGAGGTTAGGAGGTGGGGTGTGGGGGGAGGTTAGGAGGTGGGGAGCAGGTATTGGGGTCATTTGTTTTGATGGTTGAGGAAGCAGCTTGGATGGGGGGAGCCTGAAGGAAGGGGTGAGTTACTGGGAACGGAGGGGAAAGGGGGGTGATGGGTTTTTGAACGGTGATGGGGATTGAAGGGATTGATGGGGGAAGGGGGAGGGGGAGGGGGGATTGGTGGAAGCATTGCTGGAGGGGCGTGGTGGGGATATTGAGAAGAGATACTGCTGGCTTTAATTGGAAAAATTTTTCACAAAAGTAGAGAAAAATGATTATAATAATAAAATATATATTAAAAATTATATATAACTTATTATAATTATTATAACTTTATTATTAGTAGTAGTATTATTAGTGTTATTTTATTATTAATAATATTATTTTTAATAATAAAAATAATAATAGTTATAATGAATACACTGAGACATTGTACTTATGTTTCAACATTATGAATGTAATTAGTACCATTTCTGTGTGTAGTTTGAGACTCTTTCAGAACGAGCGGGATAAAGAATGGGTGAGAAGGACATTTAAGCGGTTTGTTTTAATGAGTGATTTAGATTTAGCTGTAGAGTGATTTGTCTGTGGAAACAGGAGGGAAAACGGGAATGAAATACCTTCTCCTTAATATGACCTTCTCCGCGAGAGAGAGAGAGAGAGAGAGAGAGAGAGAGAGAGAGAGAGAGAGAGAGAGAGAGGGGGGGGTGAGCGATATATGCGATATATGACCATTTCTCACAGGAGCGAGGGACACAGGCTGGATAATTTAGAGTGCGAGGTGCTAAGGCTACCTACACACACACACGCACGCGCGTGCTGGTCAACCACTCGTGCAAGCTATTATGAGTCAGAGACAGACTGAGACAGACAGATAGACCAGCAGGAAATTGACAGGCAAGAAGTCATACAGACAGAAAATAAAGGATAGAAATAACATATGCAAACATCATATAGACAGCTGCACGGTAAGTGAAATAGACATATACCAATCAGCTATTCAGTGTGTTACAATAACATCATATCCCTTTGCACCTCTCCCCCCCCCCCTGTGCTCCTAGACCACTTGGGGTGGACGGTATAGCGACGGTCTCACTTCATGCAAGTCGGCGTTCAATCCCCGACCGTCCACAAGGGGTTGGGCACCATTCCTTTCCCCCTGTCCCATCCCAAATCCCTATCCGACCCCCCTTCGAAGTGCTATATAGTGGTAATGGCTTGGGGCCTTCCCCCATGATAATTCCCCCTTCCCCCTTCTGCCCAAAACAGCGCCACTTACTGACGACTCGGAGGCTGAAGAGTTGACTCATCTTGGGTTCCGTGGAGACCTGGCACTCGTAGAGGCCCGCGTCACGCTCCTGCACGTACTTGATCACCAAGTTCCACGTCTCTGTCGCTGTAGAGTAGTGAGACTCGAACCTCTCGTCTCCTACGAACGTGTAGCGGTCCACCGTCAGGATATCAGCGTCGCGCATGCGCACCCACGAGACCTGTAAAAGGCGAAGATAGCTTGATGAGTGTGACAGGCGTTAGTAAGTCTACAAGTAAACGCATATATATGTGCAATTTATGGTTATCTTGAGAGGTTATCTTGAGTTGATTTCTGGGCTTTTTTAGTGTCCCCGCGGCCCGGTCCTTGACTAGGCCTCCACCCCCCAGGAAGCAGCCCGGGACAGCTGACTAACTCCCAGGTACATATTTACTGCTAGGTAACAAAGGCATAGGGTGAAAGAAACTCTGCCCATCGTTTCTCGCTGGCGCCTGGGATCGAACCCGGAACCACAGGATCACAAGTCCAGTGTGCTGTCCGCTCGGCCGACCAGCTCCTATAAATGGTATATGGTATATGGTATATGTATATTGCCACTATTTCATCTGTGGCTTAGAACGTGCAAGGAAACACTTTCTCCTGTGCTACTATAATATTTAATTGTTAATATACTATAATATTTAATTGTTAATATTCTCCGAGATGTCTATAAACTTCTCGCTATTTTCTCTACACTTGATCACAGTATAGGGGTCAGCACCTGCGGCTGGTGTGACTCTATAGCAATTTTTGGCAGAATAAAGATGAGTTTGTCTCATAACCTATCTGAGTTGTGTGTGGTGCTGCCATGGTTGTTTTGTTTGTTGTTTAAGATTCGTTACTTGGAACAAAAAGTTCCAAATAGCACGGGCTATGGTGAGCCCGTAGACTGTCTTACAAGGCTAAGGTGGACAAATCTTTGAGAACTCTACTGTTGACGCCATTGTGTGTGAAAGCCCAGGACGGATTTGCGACTGTGTGTATAAAAGGATTCTTTGTTTTGCTTTCAGTGAGTTATAGATAGATCAGCTCTAATTAGAAAGGAAGAACTACATATTCTTTTAATGTCAAAAAGCCTTTTATACAGTCCGCTCAATATTCGAGCTCAAGATAGAAAAGGAGGCTGGAGTATCGAGAACGACTTAAGTGAGAAAGAAAGAACTCCTCAGACAGAACGCAAAATGTACATATCATAATGAAAACGGATTAGGAGTTGAGTACATGAAGGGTAGGTGATGGTGCCTATACTGTTTATAAAATATGAGATTAACCTGACATGATATTAGCTAATTCATATCAAAGTTGCTGACAGTGAAAAACTAACGACGAATCAGGACATATAGAGACTGTGATTCCCCTTTAACGTATCTGGACACACTGCAGAAGTGTTTTTAAAAAAACGTTAACAAATGTAACCCAGACAAAAGAGAAAACATCTGAACAGTTTGAAGAAGGAGAGATATTGTTCAGATGTTTTCTGAACAGTATCTCTCACTGATACTGATACTGAGGAAAGAGAGGGAAGGCCTGGACACCGAGTGATTCCCTGTGAGCAAATCTTGGTTAGTACATTGATCTGCCAGCCCCAGGTGCACTTTACAGCAAGCCTTACTCAAAGTGGATTACAAATTTAATCCGTTTAATTAACTCATGCGACAAACACACATGTTGAAATTGCAATATCAAGGGATAATGGTATTTGTTCAGCGTTTACCGACCAGTTATCTTATTTTGGATGACATCAGTGCATATTATTTCCATACAGATATTAGTTATTACGAGTTAAAAAGCTGCATAATAAATATTACCAGTTGCGGGAAGGAAGGATGAGAGAGAGAGAGAGAGAGAGAGAGAGAGAGAGAGAGAGAGAGAGAGAGAGAGAGAGAGAGAGAGAGAGACAGAAAAAGAGAGTGAGACGAAGAACAATATATAGAATAACTGACATAGATAGAGGAGACAACGTCTTTCAGTATATATATTCCCTAGCTGCCCCCTTGTCCGTGAGGCAACAACACCAATATCCTCTCCCTGGAAATTGGAAGTCTAGATAACCATGACAGTATCTAAATTTTCCATTAACTCCTTGAGAGACTGAGATAGATGGAGGTAAGACAGAGACAGACATACACTGAAAGGGGGAGAGGGTGAAGGTGTTTACCAATTTATCTCCTGAGTAATAGAAACAGAGGGATAGAGAAATAATCTGATTGACCCATAGGCAGATCAAATGAGCGTATACTGATGAAGGAGAGAGAATAGGGTGTGTATATAATACCTGTTCCAAAATTAGTTATCCAAACTACTATGAATTACATCGTAACAAAGATGAAGGCGGGGTTTATCTACAGATACCTCAGTGGTGCTGCAGGGAATGACTGGGAGAAAGAGAGGGAGACAGAAAGAGAGAGAGAGAGAGAGAGAGAGAGAGAGAGAGAGAGAGAGAGAGAGAGAGAGAGAGAGAGAGAGAGAGAGAGAGAGAGAGAGAGAGAGAGTGAGGAAGGGAGGTAGGTGTGGGGAAGACATACAATGACAATCCCAGAGACCACAAGATACCCATTCAAGTTTAATAACGCAGAGTGCTAGACTCCCTAAAATTTTAGTATTAATTGCAAATAATTTTAAATTTAACTGTTTGCAAAGTTAACCTTAGCTATAATATTTATGCATTGCCATTGTTATCATACGCATTTCTGTTTTGAAAACGTTGAATATAATTGTCCAGGCGATTTATGTGTTGATTCGCAACTAGTATTTCATTTCAATGTCATGAACGTCTACGGAACTCTATATTCACTTTTCATTACAAAATGTTTTACATAAAATTTTTAAATTGCTTTAATTGTAAACTGTACCCTTAATGTTTCTGTTGAAATACATGTAATAGGTATATCCACAATTCCTATTTACCCTCTTTTTCCCTTACGTGCATCCTCTGTTTGACACTAGAACACTCTTTCTGTTTCCCTATGGTTTGTTTTGCTATTGAATTTTTTCCCCTTCATCTTATGCATGTCTTCCCCCATTCAGTCTAAAAAAAAATCTGTCCAGCTAATTTATATGACAAACTAAATATTAGTTTCCGAATGAAATAAACTTATTTAATGGTCTGAGTCAGTCTCTTTCGCTCTATCCCTCGTTGAATCATGTTCTCTCTCTCTCTCTCTCTCTCTCTCTCTCTCTCTCTCTCTCTCTCTCTCTCTCTCTCTCTCTCTCTCTCTCTCTCTCTCTCTCTCTCTCTCTCTCTCTCTCTCTCTCTCTCTCTCTCTCTCTCTCTCTCTTTCTCTCTCTCTCTCTCTCTCCTCTCTCTTCTCTCTCTTCTCTCTCTTCTCTCTCTTCTCTCTCTCTCTCTCTCTCTCTCTCTCTCTCTCTCTCTCTCTCTCTCTCTCTCTCTCTCTCTCTCTCTCTCTCTCTCTCTCTCTCTCTCTCCGCCCTGTTTCTGTCACACAAAATTTACAAGCAATAACAACTACTCCATTGTAGGTATTGTTGTCTTGCTATGCGTGTCCCTACACAAACATATATTCCAGCACATATTTTTTGCCAATGACAAAAAAACAATAACGAGCTGGAAGTGTTGCCAATTGCTACCATGACTCGTTATAAAGACCCGTGTCAGCGTTACTGTACCACACTCCTAAGACCCTTGATCATCAGATTATGACACGCGGAGCTCAACATTCAAGGCCTCGAGAGATCAAAAATAAGACCATAAACTTCGTATGTGTAATCGTAAAAGGAGCAGAGCAAAGTTTACGAGCAGCATACACATCCCAGAAATGTCAGACAAGAATCGATACAGTAAACGTATTTGTGTAGTAAATCATGGTCTTGCAGTATAGGTGCCAAGATGGTATGTTCACGTTATTTATATACACACTTCAGCAATTTGCCTCTGCACATTAAAACGCGTGTTCGAATATGTGTGTATATATATATATATATATATATATATATATATATATATATATATATATATATATATATATATATATATACTGCATTCATTGTTCCTGCCCCACATATGAGGAGTTGGAGTAACTCGCCAACCTGTAACAACTACCTTTGTACCCTGCATGTAACCAATGTTGTAAATCATTTTGTGTAATGAAATTTTAAATAAAATAAAACAACAAATAACAAATATATAAGGGGAGGTACAAGACAATATGCTAGTGTACGTTAGTGTACGTGGGGGACCCACACAGCTCTCTTGGATGCTATATTTCCTCTTCTTCGAGGCCATGGGTCCCTAGAAACAGAAGTCGTACCCCTATGTATTAGATGATGCAATGAAAATATATATATATGTGTGTGAATAAAATCGCGTGTGGTGAAACAGTCCACCATTCTGGCCATTCAGGCAGGAACCCAAAAACAGAATTGGCTCCTGGAAATACCCTAGAGAATAACAATCTTATCAAGCATTCTTCCTCAGTTCCTAGAAGCAACAGTTTAATTCATCCTGTGATTTTTCTGACCCCTTAGAACCATCAGTGAATTCATACAATTACAGCTAACATATGTATCCCAAGCCACCCATACGTCCCCAAACAGAAACATGAATACTCAGTGACATAAAAATTCTTCGAAATCTCTGTAAACTCACCGATTTATCACCAAGCTGTCGGACGGTGCAGGGGAGCGTAGCTTCGTCACCAAGATGTGCCGTCATGTTCCGTGGGGCCAGAGGGTCGAAGTAAGGTCCTGTGTAGAGTCCTGTGATACTCGCCTCGGGGTCGTAAGATTCGCTCTCTGTAAATACAGAGAAAAACCATTGTTAACGATGCAGTCACTATTTACCACCTAGACTCATTAAATATAGCACTTGGAAGGGGATCAGGATAAGGATTTGGGATGGGTCGGGGGGTGAGGGGAATGTTGGCCAACTACTTGGAAGTCGGGGATTGAACGCCGGCCTGCTAGAAGCGAGACCTTCGTTCTACCGTCCAGTCTAAGTGTTGGGGGAATGAAGGAATTGATGAGAATAGACGTGGATAGGTGTGAATTTTATATGATGATTTGGGAGTAATATTAGTATGAATGGGAGATATACATAGTGTATTCATTTAAATGCGAAATTAAGTGCACAATGGAGAAAGTATTGATGTACATGAGGAAATAATTGCTGATGTTAACAACGAAGTTTACAGACGTCAGAACTGATGTACACGAAGACGTCAGAAATGATGTACATGAAGACGTCAGAATCTGTCAAATTATATCTTAAATACAGACGATTTCCTTAATTCTTGGGGTGTAATATTGGTGCCCATTTGTGTCTTGGTGTGCAACAAATTCTTTTTCAATTGTTAATTGGGTCTCTAGTTTCCCCTGAACCATTAATATACACTTAATGTGTTCTGCAGTGAGAACAATTTAAGGAATTTTACATTTTCTCTTCACGTTCTTAGATTAAATACTTACTCTAGGCCTAAATTTCTCTGTTAACAGGGAATGTCACTACTTGTTGACCAGACCACACACTAGAAATTGAAGAGACGACGACGTTTCGGTCCGTCCTGGACCATTCTCAAGTCGATTGTGATGAGGACAGGTAGGGACAGGCATTAAATAGGCAAGAGAGAGCTGAGGAGGAAAGTCAGGTGTAGGGGATAGCAGTCACTGTAGGGGATAGTAATGTCACTACTTGTAATATCAATATGTCCACGTTCTTGACATCCATATATTTAGGGTGAGAGGTGTCCAAATTCCTTACATATATACCATGTTATATTTCCTGATCTCATCCTCACTCTAGCATAAAAGTCGACCCAAGCTTCCTACGCATGAGGGCACATCCACAGCAACAGCAACATGCTCCACGCATAGATGTATAATCCACATGCTCAACTGCTCTTTTACAAATGTGTGGTAGTTCTGCAGTTAATTTCTCTGCGATTATTAACCTATTTTGTTGCAATATATATATTCGTACTCTAAGGACAGTTCTATAAGCCTCGCATTATCAATACAAGTAGGGATGGCTTGTATGGCGGCTGTGTTGAACTTGTGGGATGAAGTATGTGCATGTATATGCATATACTTCATCCCACCATTCATCTTGCATGCGTATACTATGCTTGCAAGGTGATATGGAGATATCCCCGGATAAGGTGACATCCAAGAATAAGGTGTTATCCGGGTGATAAGGTGATATCCCCGGAGATATGGACGCGTGTTACGGGTGGAACGCAAGATTTCTATGTAGGTATTGTTAGGTGAGCTATGTAAGGCAAGGTAATGTGTGTTTTGGAGGGAAGACGGTGTTGTATTTAGATAAGGTAAGATAAGGTTAGTTTACTTACGGGCTATTCATGCCCGTGCCACCTCTTGGGTGGCTCATCATCAATCAATAGGCGAGTTCAGTTGGCTTAACAGTTTGTGAGGTTGGAAAACACAGTGTGTCTGGGCGTTTTTGTAGCTTAGGAAAGATGTGTCATGCAAACACAGGTAAATGACTCACAGGTAAAGGTTTACATTGGTTTGATAATATGATTGGAAAGTTTACAGTAAGAAAGACAGACAAAGAGATGGTTGAAAGGTGAAATGTAGAGGAGTAAAATAGGAGACTCGGGGATAGGATAAAGATGTGATACGTCCTCCACTATGGATATATTAGAACTAGTTCTGTACTGTCTCTTTGGTGTTGGATTGGATAATATTTTCTTGCTTTTCTTTTGCACCGGAAGAGGTTTCGTGAGGCTAACTACAAGGGACTGACCTCCAAAAGGGTTGAATATGATAGAGAAAATTAGGTAAAATAACACGTGCACATATTTCACTCCGGCTCAGAACCTTGGCGACCCACAACTGCATCACACAATATGACGAAAATAAAGTATTTTGATATTTCCATTCCTCATCATCACTAATGAAATATCAGTAAATAGATCACGAATGGTTTTGCTGTTCTCATCTTGTTTGTTTCAGTGTACATGTCATGAATATAAAAAAAAATTACAAAACTGCTTCAAAAATTGTTCTCTACGAATTGGATTTTTTTTTTTTTGTTCAGGAAAAGAAAACGTCGAAAGCTTTTTTTTTCGGTTTTCCTGCGTCGAGGATTTTACTGGTGATCAAGCTAAAGTATATTTGGAATATGCAAATCTTTATACAGTGAAACACTGGAAAGTAGTGCGAATATCGACCGATGTTTCTTCAGCTGAGCAAATATTTACATTCAAATGACCACATAAAATCAGCTGTTGGTCGTTGCCAGCGTGGTTTGTTAGTGGGAAATGGAGTATGTACCCTTCTGTCTGTCTGTCTGTCTGTCTGTCTGTCTGTCTGTCTGTCTGTCTGTCTGTCTGTCTGTCTGTCTGTCTATCTGTCTGTCTGTCTGTCTGTTGTCTGTCTGTCTGTCTGTCTGTCTGTCTATCTGTCTCGCTGTCTCTGTCTCTCTCTCTCTCTCTCTCTCTCTCTCTCTCTCTCTCTCTCTCTCTCTCTCTCTCTCTCTCTCTCTCTCTCTCTCTCTCTCTCTCTCTCTCTCTCTGTCTTTCCCCTCCCCACCCCCTACCCTGCACTCCCGTGAGTCGGGAAGGCTCGTGTGGGATAACTAACCATTCATAATAGTAAAAAAAAAAAATACAACCAATAATGACGTTATTAAGTTTAGTGGAACATTTTGCATCATTATATAATCAAACGACATACCCGGTGTATCATATATGAATGATGAAGTAATACCTGGATGACTCCTAACACCCGGAGGATACTGTAACAACCAGATTTTCATTAAAATACCTTGATGACCATTCATCGTCATCACTCTAATGAAGTGATGACGATGATGACCACTATCAACTGGACGACCAATTACGACTGGATGACCACTAACAACTTAACGACCACTTACGACTGGATTACCACTTACGACTTGCAATCATAAAACAATAAGATTAAAAAAACACTGAGCAGGAACTTGCTTGCATTGCATAATGAGGATTGGAATATTTAATCCGTGTTGCAGTCATATCAGAAACTTCAACGAGCAATTGGCAGTTTTATTTCCCAAAGTATTATCTTAATAACCTGCAACAAAGTCATTTGAGTTATGTTCAGAGGCTGTTTCTGTTTGTTAATAAATTCGAGTTCCATTATCTATTCATCATCCCATTCCATATCCATCCTTTGTTGCATAATCAATTGTTCTTTCTCGATCAACCACACTCCCACTGCAGACTAGTGTTCTATACTCAACTTCTATTCCACTATAGAACACCGTTCCCTAGTTCGACATGAGTTCGTTGATGCTGCATGGTCTAACTAGGCCTCTTTTAGACCAGGAATATTGTATGACCTTTCTAGGTCTCCTTCAGACCAGGACTGCTTACAGATATCCTAAGGTCACTTCGAACCATTGCTGTTCCAAGTTCTCAAGAAATATTCTAGTTTTGTTAATAATTGTCTGAAATTTGTATATGAAGCAATTTTGAGACGGAACCGTGTTTTTTGTTTAAGATTAGAGTGATTGAGATCATCAGTGTGGATCATCAGAGAAGCAGTTACAGACCTCAAAAGTACAGAAAGGACTTTAAGAAAGTACTTTTTTCTGTACCGAAGTACAGAAACTAATTGTCAGTTCGGATCTTCAATCTGTTTACTCATATGACCAAATACTCTCGTGAGTTTACATTTGCTATACCCAATTAACACTTGTCATATTCTTGTGATTTTATTCCATCTCTGAACAAATATTGTTTGTTCAATGGGATCGAACTTGCAAACCTAGGACTTCCCCAGGCTCATCATGGTCCAGTCGGTAGTGAGTGTGCCTGGAGAGTTCAGGAATGCGGGTTCGATTAAATTGTACAGTATCAATATCTTTTCACACAATTAACAGTCTCAATAAGGTTATGTAAACCTATATTTAATCAATCAAGATTCAACAGTTTAAACGAAATTACAATAGATACCAAATTGGCCATTATTCTGAACACACAGTACACGCGAATCTCACAATAATTAAATGAGATTGTGTCACCCGGGAGATTAACAGTCTAATATGTATATTCGGTGCCGTAGTAATCGTTGGGATTAGGGACCTAGGTAATTCGTTAGAGCAAGCGACGTTTTCTAATAGCCGGGAGGGAACAGAAATTGGCATTTAAAAGGATTAATTCAATGGAGGAAAATGATGAACATAATTTTCTGACTGACACACATGTTATGAATGTTTTATTTTAATTGTCATCAGTGTTTAACTCTCTTTCTGTTTTCTTACACACTCGCGCACATATATATATATATATATATATATATATATATATATATATATATATATATATATATATATATATATATATATATATATATATGTATATATATATATGCCTGGTCAGTTCAGTCTTATAAATCATCCCTGGAACCAGTAATGCAACGTATCCACGGATTAAATCATATAAATAGGCCACAACTGTGCGCGTGCAACATTTCATCCTCCTGCACCATAATTCATACATATTCGACCAGATAAACAAATATCCTCCGAGCAATGTTTGATCAGCCAGATCATCAACGATGGATCATGCATGAATCCCTCTGCCACGTCCCCGGAACACTGCGACTACTGCTGACCCAGTGGGATCAGGCCAGTGGGATCAGCCCAGTGGGATCAGCCCAGTGGGTGGCTGTGGGATCAGTGGGTCTTTCCTCCTTCCACCTCAGGCTGCATATTAAGCATGTCTACGATGTTTCTGAGAAACCCCCTGTGAAGTCTTTTAATGTTTTCGTGTTTTCCTAACTCCATTCAC